TTTCTCAACCCCCAGCGCATGCAGAAAGTCAGCCCTCATTTTTTGCAGACTGTCAGTCAGCAAAACCGGCTAAGCGCTTGGCTGAATTCAGGACACAGTCCACTAAAGACCTTACAGCAAGTAAACACACGGCTCTCACCAACTTCAACCATGTTTTAGTTTAGTTGACTTGATTTCGTGCAAATTAGGCTGCATAGAGTGATTTCGAGTCAGTGGACTATGTTCCACGGCTATGGCTCACAAGGAGGAGGGATTACCTGCACTAACCCCCCCCTGGCGTTCTGGACATTCGGAGTTGTGTCCTCTAAGTCCAAAAAGGAGGACAAATAGGAAACGAGCACACCCGTCAGCATTAAGAGGGCTTCAGCATCTGAGTCATGTGGGAATACGAGGAGCCTCATGTCGTAGTGTATACTGTATAACTGTTTTTGGAAAACCACCTATTCAGTAAAATGGGTCTTGCGGATGAGAAATCAAAGAGGGATTATTAAAACTCAAGTGAATGTTGACTGGTATTTTAAAACAGAAGACGGGCGGTAGAGAACCCACACTGCTGTAAAACGTCTGATGCGATATGGCAGCCCTGGGGAGTATCCTAATTGGTTGAATAGTGGATGATGTCAAGTGCCTGTTACAAGCTCCCTCGACAGTCGGTCCTAGAATGTCCACTAGTTCAGGTTCACTATTATTATTTTTTATTCACTAGCTTCCTATTTCCTTAACCCCATGTACGTTCGGCTATTCGTATGTGGAGTTACTTGTTGTCAATTGATAGAAAATTCACAACTTTAATGAAAAGTATAGTGAATTAGTTCACATTTTGTGAGACATATGTGCAAATGAAGAACGCTTATAGGCAAAATAATCAAGTTTCTCTCATTGCTGTAGAGATGAAGTCATCAAGTATTAGGGCGTCCACATAGGCAGTCCATGAGGACGACTTATTCTAGTGATTAAGTTCATCTCGGTCCAATCACAGCTAAACGATGTTAAATTACTTCAGTCCGAAATCACAAATTGATGACGTTTTGGTGACCTTCTAGGAGGCTTTAAATGTTAAATTCGAAAAGATTTGGATGCATTCTTGATCTCTGCTCAGGGGTTTTGAATAGTCAAGAGACAGTTGTTATTTCTAGGTGGCGTAAATGGTTGTTGTTGTGTGTTGTGGAATGAAAATCATCCTGCTGCAACATCCCTGTTACGCATGACGCTGTATCTCCAAGTATCCTTGAACATGTGTGATATGAAATTTGGGATGTAGGTAGGCAGCAGGCGATTTAATTTACCTTCTTAGGTATACCACGGACCAGAAACTGCTGGTGCTCCCGACACCGGTACGTGATATTCGTTTGTGGTAGGACTGCCTAGAATGGACATGACCTAAGCCTAAAAAGCTTCCACTTCAGCAGTATCCATCCTAGTTCTCTCTTTTGTTATTATTACTGAACGAAACCGCTAAGTCAATGAGTACGTGGCGCGTTAGACCTCTAATAAACAAGTCGCGTGTTCGAGTCTCTGCTGGCAAAACACCTGAGTTTGGGTATGTCTGGCTGATAAAGGCTAATAAGCCAGAATGAACATTGTAGTCTCGCTTTTCTTTGTCGGTCATGTCATTCTGCATGCAATACTAGCCGAAGTGCCGTTGTTGGCGGGACTCGAGAGTGAGATCCAGGGCAGAGTGGCACGAGGGAGTCTCCTAACCGATCGATGAGTGTCCGTCCACTAACGATAGAGTACTCTGCGGAGACAATCAGATCAATGTGAGCCAATCCAAGATGAAGTCAAATGAACAAATATGTCAGATGAACAACTATATTATGAGTGTTAATCAACTGTTTCTTTTTCTCAGCGGTAACACTACCTTAATGCAACATAAAATATCCCACTTCAATGCATCCAGGCAGAGAATTTAGATAATATTCTTAAAATCACGTTTTCAGTATCTCCAGACATCAAAAAAACAAGGAAGATGTCAGAGCGTTCAGGAATATGTTGCGTCTCGCCTGAGTTCAAAGCCCTTTTCGGCAGACGGAAATTTCCGATAGACCAGGAAGAAGCTTTGCCTCCTAAGCTAACAACAACAGAAACTAAAACGCTAGACGAAAAACGTGAGACTAGTAAAATAGCACTTGGCTTCGCCCTAACGCTAAAGTGCCTCAAACACCCGCAATATGCCTGGATTTAGCAATCGTAGGCTTTAGCAGTCCTAGGATTTTCTACCAAACCAATTAGAAATGCGGCATCTTTTTCAATAACCGCTTTAAAGGTCTTTCATATCATAGCGCCTGTTAAATAACAAGTGCTTAATAAACTGTACTATGGTCGGTAGTGATTACACTCCCGCACTTTGAAACTCAGACCTTAGGGAGACACTATAAGCAACACAGTCTTATTCAAAGTAGTTGGCACAAACAATTGATTGCGGGTGATAGATAAATGCTTATCATCTAGTAGTTAATATCTCGTTGAATTCATGATACTGACTAACATTAGTCAGTTCCCGTCAGTGAGCAGTATAAGCGACCAACGGTGACTCGAGAGGCAGTGGAGTTACGTGAATGCCACTTGCGGATTGGGTAGCTCAGACTGATCCCAATCTACTGCGCGCCTGAGCAGAAGCGTATACGCTTGCACAGGGGGCGCGCTAATAACGTATCACTGTCTTTATAGGGTCAGTTGGAAACGCACCAAAAGAGTAAATCGGAAGTGAAAGATTCGGTGACGAAATGGATGTCGGATCGCCCACGCATTTTTCCCAACTGCTTCGTTTGCTTAATTTGTTCCGCTCAGAGTTGGTTGCACAGTGGCAGACGTGCCAGTTTGACTAAGTACGAACGCTCATGTGATAGGCGCCAGTGGGACCAGTGCATTGACGAAAGGGGACTTATGCTGGACTGGCGAGGTACATTCAGCCAACTTGGTGGACCACTGGCAAGTTCAGAGATTTGAGACCTTTATTCAACTTACCTGTTACGTACTATAAGAATCCTGCTCAAATATACAGTCGTTCGCTTTCATTAACCCAGTGGTCACCTACTCAAATTCTGTGTTCGAAAACGCTCCTGAATGGAAGCTATGACCATTTTTATATCCGGCCGAGGACGGTCTGTTATCAGCACCTAGCTGCAATAGAGCTTGCGAATTCTGGCGTTATTCTAAGTCCTTACATGACATGCATGATGATCGACAGCCAAAGTGATCTAATCGACAAGAATACGTGCACTGGAGCTGTGCATGCCAACGACCGTTAATGAACACGTAAGGCAGGTCTGATAAATTCGAGACGAAGGGATGTTGGGTTTGCGCTGGGAATCTAGAAGTCAGAGAGCTGCAAAAATGAAGGCCGTGGTCATGTTTAACTGTTAAATCTTATGGACAGAGAAGTGTTGGGGGTTGAGGTCCCACTGAACCTCTTTTCTGCCAGGTAGATTTTCAACTAGATACCTATATGGCTGTATATGACTGTATGTGGTTTCATCCGTGAGCTATTTAGCGACAATTTTTTGCACTCTGTCTGTAGCTAAACGCTTGTACCTGTATTTGTTTTGGTAGTAAATATAATATCAGCTCTGTGTGTCGACTGATCTTAAGGAAGTTAGTAGGTTTCATGAAGACAATCATTGCGGTTTTTATCCGTTTAAAGTAGATTTTAACGTCGATGCATCACTTACCCACCATTAGGCATTATTTATCCTCTTGATTGCACTCATCCATCCGCGCAACGCAGCTTTCTATGTCAGCAATTGTGTCAAGGCTCAGATCACCTTGACACTGTCAGCTTTGACGAAGTTCCTGCTGCTCATGTGACAACTTCCACATTTTATTCCGAACCGCTTTTAACCTACCTAAACTAATTACGGCACTGGCGTGCCGTTGCTTATACGGTACAGCGAATACAACTAACGTCTACTCACGAAAGCTTTTCGGGAAGGTAATATGCCAAACTAACGTGCTCACCGGAGTCCTTGCTAATGCAGCCTTGTCTTTTGGTTTGTATGAATCTACTGATTTTGTGTGAAAATTTTAGGCGATAAGGAGGGTGAAGCATTGGTCAACGGGAGTGATGAACCTCCGGCGAGCGTTGATGTGAAGTCATTAAAGGAGCAGCATGTTGCGGCCGCCAATAAGGTAAGCCCGGTGAAGATTGAGCCATTATTTCTTTTCCAGTTAGAAGCCGTTGTCAGTCCTAAGTAAAGTAAAAGGGCATCTCCATGTAATCCTGGCCTTAGTAGGTTAAGTATTTTGTCACCAATTTTGCTATTTTCATTGACCTGACCCGAATGAGTCTGCCTCTGCGGCAGACTTATTGGGTTATCCCATTATTTCCTCCAGTTTTCCATTATTCAAAATTCTACTATGTTATGTCCTTTATGATATGTTCATATTAGACAGTCCTTCTGATCCTCTATCTATGTAATTTCAAATTTTGCCTATAATTTCAAATTTTAAATATTTCTCGATAATTTACAATTTGATGAAAATGGAGTCTCAGGTCGAAAGCAAATGAACATTTCCAACATCTTCGCTGATGACGGCTAATAATCCGTCCCTATAAACACCAAACAGGAATAATCTGATCTAAGTTTCTGATATGAAAGAAAAGAATAATAAGCAATCTATGCGATGGAGCTAGGCATTACTATTTACTATTTTTTTAAGAATTCATCGCTCATTTTGGACTCCATACTGCAAGTTTTTTTTAATGCTGCGCCTTCGATTGTGAATGTATACGGTTATTTTGCAAATGCAATATTCTTATGCCTGAATGCTTTTGATACGTAGTTGAGAGCGCGGAGAGATTTGCCTGCGGCTGTTTAAATAGCGGCAATTGTCAGTCCTTGGAACTTCATGGTATCACCGTTAAATTCCCTTTCAGAGTCTTGAACCAGACGCACCGAAACCCGCACCAGCCAAAACCGGCGCTGTCGCTGCGACTAAAGACAAACTGGCTGCAACTCTCGGTAAACTCCCGATGGGCCCCCCAGACGGTCTTCAACCACCAAAAGTGGAGGTAATGCGCGTTTCTGACACTCTACTCAAATCCTTTGATACGCCTGTATGCCTGCGATGGCTTTTTTTTTTACTGGCGATGGGTGCCAGAAGAACGATCAAACTTCAAGTACTTGGATAGTTGCAGATGTCTGTGACAGACACTTAAAATTCAACACAGTTTACCAAAAAGTGGTTGCATAATTGTTAAGCTCTTCGACTTTGGACCTCTGGTAGTACTCGATATTACTTTAAGTCATTGTGTTATATGACTTAAACTCGGTCACATTTTCATTGTTGCAGAAACGTCCAATTGTTGTATGCAAAATGGTCGAACTTTCATTCGAAAAGCAAGTCACTCTATAATTGTGCAACAAGCTGGATTTAGGCCAGCCGCAATTGGAGAAAATATGCTTCTGTTCACTTGCTGATTTTGCTTCATTTTCCTTAAATAAATTGAGCGTGCCATCAAACAGTATGGCTGATTGATTGGTGTCGGAAACGAAGACCACCGCAACAACACTCCTTATGGTCGGGCTGGAGCTTGTGTAGACCTATTGGGAGTCAACTCGTGGCTCACAAGAGAGAAGGGAGAGCATTCGGCAAAATTCAGAAGTATTGCTGACTTGTAGGATGGTTCGCATCCATGGGGTTTCCTGTGACTAATGAGATTATCTGCTTTTTGCCCGCCTCCAGTCTTAAAAGTTCACTCTGTGAATCATTTTTTACGTGCCACTTACTCCGCCGTTCAATCGACTGCACCTCTTGTTTATCCTGAAACTGCATTTGCAGCACGTGACCCTTAAACTTTTTGGTCCTCAAGACTTAATCAGTGCCTAATTGCTTCGCCAAAGATATGTCGTAATAGTGGTCTATTTGCAGGACATAATGCTGAGCGCTAAATTTTAAACTTTGAACATTCTCAGTTGCCAGTTTTGTTTGCCTGACGATATGGGATTTATGCTTGTAAATCCTGTCAAGGATTGCCTCGCACCGACCCTCGTTTTATTCATCCACTTATCAGGGAATGAGCGAGGGATAAAAAGTCATTTGGACTGTTTCTCTGGTCGTTTTTTAAATAAACACGTCTCAGTAAATATAGCTACGATCCTCTCTAGCTGGCATACTTACTTTTTACAGCAGATGTGCGTTCTAGACCTGAAATATTATATTTCAATGGGATTTGGTTTGTTTGTTTGAGGGGACACAGGTGCATTCAACGAGGAAGGCATTTGCCATGTGTAATGGGCTGAAGCTTATGGGTGGAACTGAATAGTTTGGATTCGAACTCCGGGTTTTCCACATTGGCAGTTGGAAATGATTGGCTGGCGACAATTTGTAAGCCAGCACTTGCCTTCCCGTGTCACCCTTATCTTTGTCTGTGCCATTCATGTATAATAATTGGTCGCTATGTGACCAAATAAAGGGCGCTAGAATCATCTTCGCCATCCGATCAGTGAAAGACGGCTCTGCGATTATAAACATACACCTATTTTCGATCTCTAATTCTTCTATAAATTAGCCCACCAACTGTGTGTCGACCAATCAGAAACTTGCTCTTAGACGGATTCAAAAAGTCAATGAGAATATCTGAGCTGAAATCCATTGGCTTCTGAGGGATAACGGTGTGATATTCATAAACTGGGCGTGGGCAGTCAGCAGTATGAAGACAGTTCGACCGTCGATTTTGAGGATGTCCACCACGACCTTCAACGAGCTAAGACAATGCGCTGACTCCCGTCAGAATAGGGTGAAAGTAGACTCGCAGAGGATCTACCCCACTCTCTCACCACTCCCATACCAGGACACGGTGTCAAGACAAAGTCAAGAAGGCCGGAAATGGGGAGCGCAGACGGCTGGTGCGACCAATAGTCAACACGCGTACCAACA